TAGGCATTTATGGAAATAAACTTTCCTCTCAGGACTGCTTTGGCTGTGTCCCACAGATTTTGATAACTTGTGTCACTTTTGTCATTTAGTTCAAAGATTCTTTTGATTCTCATCTTTACTTCCTCGTTTACAAAGGAATCGTTCAGCAGAAAGTTGTTTAATTTCCATGACTTTGTGTAGAGATGAGAGTTTCTTTTCGGCTTGATTTCTGTTTTTATTCCACTGTGATCTGAGAAGATGCATGGTATGATTTCTGTTTTTTTAAATTTTTTGAGACATGCTTTGTGTCCTAGAATATGGTCAATCTTAGAGAATGTCCCATGAGCTGATGAGAAGAATGTATATTCAGTGGTTTTTGGGTAGAATGTTCTGTAAATGTCAGTCAAGCCCATTTGTTCTAGAGTTCTGTTTAATTCCATTATTTCTTTGTTAATTTTCTGTTTGGAGGATCTGTCCTGTGCTGTCAGTGGGGTGTTGAACTCTGACTATTATGGTGTTGCTGTCTATCAATTTGTTTAGATCAAGTAGAGTTTGCTTTATGAATCTTGGTGCACCTAAGTTGGGTGCATAGATATTTAGAATAGTTATGTCTTCTTGTTGAACTATACTCTTCACCATTATATAGTGACCCCCTTTGTCTCTCATTACTTTTGTTGATTTAAAAACCAAGTTGTCTGAGATCAAAACTGCTACACCAGCCTTCTTTTGGCTTCCATTTGCTTGAAATATTGTTTTCCACCCGTTTACTTTGAGTCTAAATGCATCCTTGCAGGTTAGATGTGCTTCCTGGAGACAGAAGATGCTTGGCTTTTTTTTTTTTTTATCCATTTGGCCAGCCTATGTCTCTTGAGAGGGGAGTTCAAGCCATTCACTTTTATTAAGAGAACCGATAAGTGGGGTGAATTACTGTTCATTCTGTTGGGTTGCATTTTGTTGCTTTGTTTTCTTTCTTCAGCCATTGTGGTATCTAGACTTTGATCTTTAACTTTTGAGTGGTTTCATATTCGAGAGTGTTTACTGTGCTGATCCCTGTGTAATCTTGTTTTGAGTACTTCTTGGAGAGCCGGTCTTGTCTTGGTGAATTCCCTCAGTCTTTGCTTATCTGAGAGTGTCTTTATTTCTCCTTCACATATGAAATTTAGTTTTGCAGGGTACAAGATTCTAGGCTGGGCATTATTCTGTTTCAGAAGAGTGAGAATGGGGCCCCGGTGTCTTCTTGCTTGTAGGGTTTCAGTTGAGAAATCTGGAGTTATTCTGATGGGCTTTCCTTTGTATGTTACTTGTTTCTTTTGCCTTAAAGCTCGTAGAAGGGCCTCTTTAGTGGCTATTTTGGTCAATCTGATGACTGCATGACGTGGTGTCTACCTATTTCCATTGAATCTCCCTGGGGTCCGTTGAGCTTCTTGTAGCTGTATATCTAGATTTTTAGCAAGGCCTGGAAAATTCTCCTCTATTAATTCTTCAAATAGCTTATCCAGCCCTTGAGTGTTTTCTTCTTCACCTTCTGGAACCCTTATCACCCTCAGGTTTGGTTTTTTCCTATAATCCCACATTTCTTGTAGGCTTATTTCTTTTCTCTTAATTTTCTGCTCGATTTCTGTGACTGAGTTATTTAATTGGAAGGAGTTGTCTTCAATCTCTGAGATTCTTTCTTCTGTTTGATCTACCCTGTTCTTGAGGCTTTCCATGGTGTTTTGTAGTTCTCTGAATAAGTCTTTCATTTTTACCAGATAAGTTTGATTTTTCTTTAGTATTTCAATTTCTTTAGTGAATTTTTCTTCCAAGTCCTGGATTTTTTTTGTGGTTTCTTTGTGTTGGTCATCCATTTTTTCTTGCATATGGTTCAGTTTTCTTACAATCCATGTTTGAAATTCTTCTTCTGTCATTTTAGTGTTCTGGGTTTGGGTAATGTCCATTTCTGGGGAGCTGTTGTTCCTCTTTGGGGGTGTGCTTTCCATTTGAGTCTTTATACTTCCAGAGTTCTTTCGCTGGTTCCTTCCCATCTGGATCAGTTGTTCCTTCTTGCCTTTAGATTTTCGTTTGGATAATGACACGCCCTGTTTAGTCTCTGAGCCAGTAGGTGGTGTTTGTGGGTTAGATTCGACCATACCCTTTATGATGAATCAGTAGATGCAGTAAAAGGGTGTCCAGGATCACCTCCCTGTGAGTAGGTGGCACTTGCAGTGAGGAAGGAGCTGCAGTGGTGTTTTTGGGTCCTGTAGCTAGCTCTTATTCCTCTAGAGAGGCCCTCCTGTGCCTCGGGTGGTGGGTGGGGCCCTGGGATTTCCAGGTGTGTCCTTATTCTCCACCTTAGTGGGGGAAGTGAGTCTGGGTGGGGCTGGGTTGAGTAAGCCTGCCCTCAGGCTCCACCACTGCTGTTAGTAGGGTCAAAGGTCTACTCTTTGTTTCTGTGCAAAGCTGCCAGGAGGGGCTGAAATGGGTCGACTCAGCGGAAATTCTGGGCTTGGGGGGTGGGGCTGTCCAAGACCCGCACTCTGGAGCAGGTCTCGCTCCCCTCCCATCTTCCCCTCTCCTTGTCCTCTCCCAGGCCTCTGCCAGCAAGCGGGAAATCAGACCGATGGATCTCCCCTGGCTGTGATGTGTGCCGGGAATTTCCCTACCCAGGATCGTAGCCTGAGCTGGGTGCACAGCTCTCTTTTGGGAGAAGTGTTGTGGCTCTGGCACGCTGATCTGCCCCTGAAGGCACATACTCCTCAGTAGGCTCTTTCACAGATCTCTCTTCTGTGTCCCCAGGGCAGTGCGATCCTGACGTGGGTGTACGGGATCTGGTCTGCAGGCCTGTCCCCTGGACCCTGGAGATCAATCCCTGACCCTGCCGGGGGGAGGGGTGTTGGTCTCGAATCACCTACAGGGTGACCAAGCAGGATCGATTTCACTCCACCTCGGGATTTGTCCCACTCTCCTGGAGTCCCCAGGCAAGTAGCACCTTGGAGGGCTAGTGGGTAGGGAACTCGCAGTCTGAGTACCCCTCAGTCTGCTGTAGGGCCCCAAAAGGAAAGGTCCCGTTCCTTGGAGATGGCTCTGTGTGATGGCTAAATTGTCTCTCTGGGCACCCACGGGTAGGGAGGGGGAAGGAGAGAATGGAGCAGTATGGTGTCTGCCGATAGGCTTGGGTCTGCTCCTGGGGAGGTGCCCCAGGGGGCTGGGAGCCCGGCGCTGAGTCCACAAGAGGCCACTGCTCACTGGCGGCAGCCGTCTCTGGGCTGGTGTCGGCAGGTCTCTCCAACCGCTCAGGAGCCACCAGCAGTCCGAGATGCAAGGGAGGGGGAAGTTAACCGCTCCACCTACCCTTGTGGCTGGTCTCCAAGCCTCTTGGGACCTTTCTCCTTCCAGTTCTCCTCCACAACGTCTTTCTGTGGAGTCTCTTGTAGTTTCAGGCACCCTTCCTTCCAACCCTCACCGGATCTATGTTTCTCTGCTAGCTTATTTTTTTCTCTTTCTTCTAAAATTTGTCTTTTTTGCAGAGACATTCTGACTGGCGGCCTTTCTTGCCCACCATGTTGGCTCCTCCCCCACAGTTTTTATGAAATATTTAGAAATTTGAAAATTTTTGACCATCATTTCTTCAAGTTTTTAAATTCCTCCTTCTTTCTTCTTGCGTGTAGGGGCTACATATTAGGCACTTAAAGCTGTTCTGCAACATAACTGTTTACTTTTTTTAGTCTTTTTCTCTGTTTTTCATTTTAGATATTTCTGATTGCTATACTTTATTTTTACTAACTCTTCTGCCATGTTTATTCTGCCATTATGCCTATATATTGTGTATTTTTATCTAAAATACATTTTTCATTTCTTAAGGTTTTATTTATGTTTTTTAAATATCTCTTCTGTCTCTCTCTAACAGTCTCAATTTTTCTCTACCTTTTTAAATATATATGATATAGCTATAACAGTTTTTAAATATTGTCTGCTAATTCTCTTATCTGTGTCATTTTTCTGTTTTTATTAATTTATTTTGCTCCTTATTGGCTGTATTTTTCTGCTTATTTCCATGCCTACTACTTTTTTTATTATAATACAGATGTGAATTTTGCCTTTTTTGCATTTTTGTGTATATACATATATATAAAAATACACATTTTTTCTATAAATAATCCTGAGCATTGTTGTACAATGTGCTTAACTTACTTTGAAATAGTGTATTCCTGTTGAGGATTGCTTTTAGGCTGTGTTAAGCAGAATCAGAGAAATCTTTCATTTGGGCTTCTGAGGCAATAACTTTCTACCGAAGCATTGGCCTTCTGACCTAACCTGTTGTCTCCTCTGGCTGGTGGGACTACCAATTATTATAGGCCTATTGTGAGCTCCAGACATTATTTCTTCTAATTTTGGAATATTTCTTTCCCTGGACATGGGTAGCTTGGTTATATATATGTGGTGATCAGTATGTAGCTAAAGACTTGATGTGTATCTCTGTATCTCCAGAGCCCCCTATCTGCAACATTTTCTTCTCTATTTCTTGGCAAGTGTAAACACCAGCAATCTTGGCCTCCTTGAACTCCCAACTCCATCTCCTTCACTGGCAGAAACTGCTGGGCTCTTCTGGGGTTCCTCTTCCTGTACTGCGACCTGGGAACTCTCTCCATTTAATAACCTATTGCAGTTTTAGGCTTAATTTTTTCTCCTTTCTCAGGTATCTCTTTCCTCTGCTGCTTGATGTCCAGCATCTGTAACAATTATTTCCTATATTTTGTCCACGATATATAGCATTTTCATGTGAGAGGGTAATTTCAATCTCTGTCATTCTACTTGGTCATAAGAAGCTGTATACCTTTTAGTGTTTTAATTTTATAGAGTTAAAATTCAATGAAAAATGAATAATAGGATGAATTAAGATTATTTTCAATGAGGAAATTGTATTTTATTTAAGGGAATATTTTTTATAAAATGAGATTATTTATGGCTAAAACAACAAACATAGCCTGTAAAACCAGTGTGGGTAAAGCAAGATAAAACACCTCAAACCAAAGGCTTCTCATTTCCACACGTAAATACAGAGAACTAGGTATATCCCTTTATACTTAGATTTGAGAGACACGAGCCACAGTTGACCCTAACAGCTTCATTTTCTCTCCATCACTTGGTCCCCCTTCAGTGACTTAGGGATGTTTGTTTACTTGTTTAAAACATGGACAAGCAGATTGCACTGAAATAACAGTAGCAGCTGCACTTTCCCTCAGTGTACTTTCTTTTATTTAGCCCTATACAGTGCCGACCTTCTATTCATAAATCCTCACTGTGTGCCTGCTGTTGGCTGAGATTCAAAGCCTTTAAAGTTTGAATAATAAAAGCATCTGGTTTCTCTAGACCAGAAGATATACATTGTTTAATCACAAAAGAATTGTATAGTTTTTAAAAAATCATCATGAACATATTGAAAATCAAATAAAGGTGAAAGTATTATGTTACATAGAATGCTTGTGTTCTATTTTTGTTCAAGCCCCACAGCCAACTCAGTTACTTCTGGCAGCAAATCCTTCTTGTAACCTGATATCTTTGCCTTATTGAATAATAAATTAAGAAATATGCTTAGTTGTTAATAATTAATCATTGTGAAACTTAAATCTTAATATCCTTTAGGATGGTTAAGAAAATATATATTAAAAAATTGATTTAGTTTTCACTAAAAACAGAAATAAAAACAAGCAAAACTTCCACAATCTAAATACTTACATTCTTTCTACCTTTACCCTCTTCCCAGTTTGCTAGCCCTATTCATTCACAGAACACAAATCTCTCTCCACAAGACTTTGTTCTGAAAGTCTTCTAATGATAGTTAATGACTATTAATTTGACACACCAATAAATAGATCCTAAGTATCCACTTTCCCTTCCATAAATTAAGTGAATTTTTTTTAGAAATAAAACAATTGGGTTTTTGCCAAAATAACCACCCACCTACCTTCCTCCTGTTGTCACTATGAACTTGTCTCACTGAGCTAGAAACTTTAAAAGAGGTGAAGGGGTGGCCACATGTGGCCAGCAATTCAAGCCTCAGTGGCTGATTTGTTTTGTGACTTTCTATAGTCCACTCTGATCCATAACCCTTTCATTTGAGATGGAATTTCAAATATGTAGGAAAACCTTTCTAGAAAATTCTATTTCTTTCACTTTTTTCCCTAAATGTAGAACTATTAACTGGTTACATTTAAAAGTTAGCTGAACTCTGTAGAGTTAATTCATATTTGGTAAAATATCTCAATACCATAAGAATCAAAACTTTTTCTGGGAAATATGCTGTGTGGTCTTACGAGAAATATCAAAGAATTAAAGTGGAGGGACCTGGAGTCTAGTCCCAATCCTAGCAGTGTGACCTCAGCAATTATTTAACCACCCTAGGACTCAGTCCCATCTTTAATAAAATACAGGGATTACACTACCTTATCTATAAGGCTATCTGAAAACCTAAATTCCAGATCCATGGTTTATTTATTTGGTTAAATAGGAGGAAAAGGAAATTATGTTGTGCTGAGCATAGGAGATGGAGTTCCACTATAAGCTAGGAAATGGGATGTGGAAGGCCATTTGAATATACCACTAGAGGATTAGATTAATAATCCTAAACTCTTCACTGTACTGTGGTCTTGGTAAACCATTCCTTTCATCCTCCTTTTAAGATGTAGTGTACATGGTGGTCAAGGATTGTTCTGGAGGTATTTGCTTTGTCAGGATTGATTCTGGCTGCTTCACTGGCTTTGCTAAGTGGTGGATTCATTTATTTATATTGGTATAAAGGCATTATTCAAGATTCAAGGATTTTAGATCCTGAATTTATGATAAATTGGTGATAATTTTGCAGATATCTCTAACCATAGAAAATGAATTTTTAAATGCAGAGCAATGGAAAGTTAATGAAGTAATTACTTGTTAATTGCTGGTTTATCACTTACATGTCACTACCCCACCCTTCTCTTTCTGAGATGACTGTTTTGGTGTGCATTTGTGTATGTGTTTATTTATTACAGAAAGGATATAAGACAGTTGGCAGGGAATGCATAAAATATAGCAAGATAATACAAATGAGTGAATGAGAAAGAAAAAAAATGAGAAGTTAAGGAAGTGAGGCAAATAAAGAAATAACTAGCACAGAGATCTACAATTAAAACTCTAGGGTAAGCAACCTTCATCACATTTATGGGTTAAAAGGAGATCCCAGTAAACATCACAGTTCTTAGTGTTCACCAGATACAAATAATTGTTATTCAGGAGAAGCACTCTAATTTCTGATTCTTAGGCAAGGAGGAAGAGCAGAGTACTGGAAAATCAGAATAGTTTGGTTCAAATTATAGCTTTAGCCACATACTAGCCTTGGGGAAGTTACTTGATTGCTTGGTGCCTAATAGATTCATCCATTAAAAGAGGATGGCAATACTGTTCACCCCAGAGGGTTGTTTTGAGGATTAAATGAAATAATGTATGCAAAGAACTTAACACAGTCTGAGAGACTTAACTGACTTAGTATAGATAACGTTTAGCTATTTTCATTTTTTTTAAGAGATGATATAAATTCATCCAAGATTCCCTTCTGTAAAAACACTGTGCAAAGTTAGGAACATACCGATGTTCATACTATTTTCAGAGTCCCTTGGTAAACTCCTTGTTTACACTTGGTTTGGGGAAGCTGCAAACAATGGAGTGAGATTCTGCTACAGCCCTTTGAGAGAAGATTTACCCTCATCTGTCTCCATGATAAATCCTTGCAGCATACAACATAGGGGTCAAAAATAAAGTAGCCAAATGATAACCCAGATCTAGAAATCTTTTTGGTATACACACTTCTTTCTTTGATAATTTAGCATTGAAATGTAATGTACATAAAATACTATATAGTATAATCAAGCTGTAAGTGGTGTGTGACACCACAGGCATCTGGCAAGAGCCGTTCTGCTGCATCATCCCATGGCAGAAGGTGGAAGGACAAAAGAGCATGTGTACGACAGAGAGAGGATGGGGGCTAAATTTTATCCTTTTATCAGGAACCTACGTCCGTGATTATGTTGTTAATCCATTATATACACACACACACACACATGTATTTTTTACTTCTTCAGACTTCATTCACTGTAGATGGCATAATCCATGATGACAACATATTGTATGGTTCTTTAGAATGCGGATGAAGACAAATTGTTTTCAAGAGTCCTTAGCTACTTCTGAAGCACCATCTATTTGAGATAGTTCATTGTGAGAAATTAGATGAGATTAATATTAATAAATCTGCAAATATTTTAAGATATTCTATGACTTATGAATTTTAACAAGGCAGAATTTTTTAGCAACCAACCACATTTACCTGAACCTATAATAGTAGTAATATCAAAAATATAGTACATGTTTACCATGTGGCAGGTTCTGTTATAAGAGCTTATTTGTTACTCATAAAGCTCCTATAAGGAGACATTTTCATTATATCTGTTTCACTTTTAAGGAAACTAAGAGACAGAGTTAAAGTTGTCCAAAGTCACATAGCACAAGCTATCTGGTTCCAGAGGTTGACTAATTTTTAATCAGTATGATATATTATTGC